GTACCTTTGCCCCTCTTTGGTGGACACTGGTGGTTTCCCAGCCAATCCTATCCTAAAAACCTGAGGATGAAAAATCAAGTAATGAGTCTGGCAGACCAGTCTCTCACATTAGGCTGAATTTTGTTTGAGCCTGTACTCAAAACTCAGGACTCTTTCCTTTGAACTTCATTTCTCCAAAAATAGTTCAAAGCATTTTGAGAACATGGATGCCAAAAATCAAGCCTGGAAAGCACCACAGCCTCCCTTCAAACCACTCCATTTCCTCCTGGGAGCTGTGCTGTTGCTTTGCACAGCTTGTCAAACAGCCCCTTCAGTCTGAGCCCCGGCCCTGCCGCTCTCATTCATCACGAGGCTCAGGGCTGCAGCATCCAGCTGCTCCAGGGCTGCAGCATCCAGCTGCTCCAGGGCTGGGCCCTCACCAGTGTTCCTGCTGGGATGTTACACCTGCCTGTTGGGATGACCTTGGCTATTTCTGACAAAGAGATAAAGATGAAATAGCTTCTTGCTCCCGTTTGTACAAAACATCCTTTAAGAGAAAAACGATGTTATCCATATGAATCCAGGCTGTTCCAGACAGCAACACCACCATCCCTCTGCCCTGGGTGACACAGCAACAAGAACGATGGCTTGGCATTATTGTGACAGCAGCTCTTTAATTACACTTTGGGCAAGTACTATATTTTCTCCCCAAAACTATTAGCAAAGCAAACACTTCGAAAACCACTTCATCTTTGCATTACAACCTCTGTGTTTGTTCATTTTGACATTTCTCAACCTGGCACACACAATTTTTGGAGGCTTCTTCCTTTTAGTTCAGGGCTCTTGCTCTGAACTTTCTTTTTCCTACCTGTTGCCCCTTGTTCTGTGAACTTTCTGTTAAGCAGAAAGATTTCTGTGATCTTCCTCACAACGAAAAACGCTCATGAGAGTCAAAATATCCTTCAAATATATTGCCTGATTAACATCCTGAAAGAAAGACCACTTTATTCCTCACAGGTCTGATGAATTCTGTGAGAGGCTTATTTAGATTTCATTGAGGTCTTTTTTAGCTGTTTCTTCAAAATTAACTCAACAATGTCCTAAACACTTAATCTAGAGCAGATGAAAAGTTCTAATCATTTATAAAGTTAAGGATAAGCGGAAAATCCTTGCTGGATTGGGGCCTAAATGCCTGCAAATACAGATGGCTGTTAGCAAGGCCCAGAAGAGGCCAGGTAACCACCAACAGGCAATTATATTCCTACCAGAACTTCAACTGTTTGAAGTTAATTGCTTTGAAATAATTGGACAGGTGAGCAGGTAAGTTCACACAGAGCATTTGCAATTTTGCTTTGTATTTAAACAAAACAACAGTGCAGACTGCATGGACAAAACAGGCATGGTTTTAACAAAACAAGTTAAAAGGCAAGGGAAAGGTATGGTTGGTTTTCTTTTAAAGACTTTTCCTTTCAGTTTTTGGCATCATTAAAACGCTGCAAACATTTCATTCAAGAGCTTCTTTAGCTAATACCTCATTACTTCTCTTTTTATTGTTATGGTAATCAAGCCTTAATATATTGCAGCTTTATAGCATGAAATGAAGGCTAGGCCTGTGGGCATGGACAGATGTACAACAGCATGCAGTAAAACACAGGTACAGAGACATGCAGAGCTGAATATGGCACTGGGGTTTTTGTAATTGTTTAGCAATTCATCTGAAGTTATTTTAACCTTGACAACAGATGAACTCTAACATGTACCGTGAGCAGTCACTGGAAAGCTGCTCCGAAAAGCGAGTTTGGTGACTGTTGTCTTACAGGCTGAGCTCTAGGAAAGCATGACACCAAGGCTGAGCAAGATGATTAAATTGTTTGCATGGCTACAGGCTGTAGCTGTAGCTATTCCAAACATTTAACTGAGAATATTTTAGCCAGGGGAGAATGATAACGCTGGGAAACCGCATTAACACCAAAGCCTTGCCTCCCCGTGGGAAATCAGGGCTCGGGGTCAGGATCCAGACCCTCTCATGTCACAAGCACACCGAAATAATAAAAACATACTTCTGGTTCTGAAGTGACACTTGGACCTTGTGCTGGAGCTCTGCTTATGGTTGAATTTCACCCATCAAATCCAGTGAGTTATAAATAACTTCTAGAAAGTTATAATGGTCTTGTTGAAATAGCATCTCAGCAAGAGTGAGTGGCCTTAGATCTTCTCCAATAAATGACAACACACGACCCCCAGTGTCAGGGAGGCTCCACTTCTCAGCATTGCTTTCAGGAGAGATCATCCAGGAAACCATTCCAGCTCCTGGGAGATTTTCTAAATTTAAAGGGAGTGTTTTGGCTGGCGATCCTTTCCCCAGTGAAATCGCTTCAAAGAGCCAACATGAAAAGCAATATGCCTGTGACTGCACAAAATCCCCAGGACTGAGGGCCACACAGGGAAGTTCTAGAGCCCCACGGGTTTGGGGTGGCACCATCCAGCCAACAGCTCTGGTTTATCCCGAGCACAGCCCTGCAGGAACATCCCAAACCACATTTGGCACCGCAAACACGTGACCTTCAGAGTAGCTGCACAAAACTGAAGCAGTAACAGTAAGAAAGTAGGCACAGATTATTCCAAGTAGGTGATAGATTATTCTAGCAGAAGTGAAGAATGTTTTCCACATTCTGACTGGGTAACAGTAAGATATGACTCAAAACACGGATCATGGGTCTGAAAAACCTGGTTAACCTCAGATAGGCAAAGCTCCCACTTCTCCCTTCTTCCTTGGAAATACCTGGAGTAACAATGCACTGCATTCTGCTGAGACCCCCTGATTGAAACCTTTTGATTTGAACAAAGGCCCCTAACAATAAAGAGGCCAGTCACCCAAAGTTCTAGTGTGCACTAAAAGCTGACTTCCATGAGGCCATTCACTCCCCCAGCATTAAACTGGGAAGTGCTTGGGGGATCAGCCCCTGGGCCAGGAACACGTGTTGCCCGGTGTATAACAAATGGAATGAGAGACAATGGGCACTATAGGCCAGCAAACACACTAATTATATTAATAAAATGAAAGCTTAAATTTTGAAGCTAATCCTGGGCTATCATTTATAGAAGTTAGCAGGGCATATTTAATTTAGGAATTGGCCAACGCTTCCCTTTCCACTGCTGAAACCTCATAAATGAAATGCCCTGGATCGGTGCCCAGCGCGGAAATAAAAGTTATGAATAATGTTTCTATCTCCATCATTGTCACTGCTGTAATATTCCTAATTACTTTAAAAAGCTAAATATTCAATATAGCAAAAACCTTCTTTTTCTTTTATCTCCACTTGCAAGATTAGGGCAATTTAATAAGAGTCACTGGGTAGTTTTAGCCCACGGGACCAGTCCGAGATCACTTGACATCTCATCCTTTCCTTTCATCTTCACCCAGAATGGAGTTTGTGAGTCTGTGTGTATAAATGTATACATCTGTATGTGTGTGTCCATATTGCCACAGTATTTATTATTATCATTATTTTTAACTTCTGTAAGTGCACGTGCACTGTACAAATACTGGCTGGTAGGTTAAACATATCCAATCCTGAGACTAATCAAAAGACAAAATGAGTTCCTGAGAATCTTTACAATCATCTCACCATTTAAGGTACTATTTTTCTTTTTTTAATGTATTGTTAGAGATGAATATTTAGTAAGTTATGCTGCTCAATTTTTCCCTTGTCTACATGCCAGGTAATCCCAAAAGGTTGCTTCAAACCCCAAAGCACAGCCCTTGTTCCATCCTTAGAATCCCAGAATCCCAGAATGGTTTGGGTTGGAAGGGACCTTAAAGTCCACCCAATGCCACCCCCCTGCCATGGGCTGGGACACCTTCCACTAGCCCAGGTTGCTCCAAGTCCTGTCCAACCCGGCCTTGGACACTTCCAGGGATGGCAACAGTTCCTCCCTCCCCACTCCCTCCCTGCTGCCTTTCCTGCTGTGCCTGAGGGACATCCCAGAGCTGCAGACAAAACCTGACCAGAGCTGCCCCACTGCCTTCAGCCTCTGCAGAGGTTCCTCCTCTGTCACATTTAACTCTCATTCCCTTCTAACACCTCCCTCTATAGATCTCTTTTCTGTTACCTCTTTGCCTGCTAATTATGTTTTTTTCTCAAGATCTCAATCAATTTGGGAGAAAGGGAGGAAATAAACACAAAATGAAACGTCCATTCAGCTTCATTTCACAGCATCTCTCTCCGTGTACCTTTATTTACTTGCCTGCTGCACAAATTGACTTCATTTAACAAGCTTATTTCTTTTATGTCAATAAGGTATCGGGCCTGTGTTACATCAGAGCTCAGATGTTTGTGCTGCCTGTTCCATTCCACAGGAACCAACCACAGAGACCTGAACTCACCGCTGCCAATTAAGAGAGTTTAACAAACACAGCTTCACCAGCTGGAAGAATTGAAAAGTGTGGATTAATTCCCTTGCAAAAGGTGCTTCCCTAACTCCTGCAGTATGGATCTGAGGTATGGATGCCAAGGCAATCCAGGGCTGCCTGGAAAGCCAATGGCAAAACTCCCACTGGCTTGCCAGGACAAGGATTCTGTGAGGAGAGAGGGTTTTCCAAAGGGCTCCAACACTCCACAGAGTATTTCATGAAGAATGTGTTGTATTAAAGATTTAAGAGAGAAAAAAATTCATAATACAGCTCTATTATCTGTACTGGTTTCCCAATAACCAAAAGCATTAAGAGCATCTTCCACTGCATTTCACATTTCTTTGTAAAAAGCAAGCACAAAAGGCCAATGTCATTATCCTAGGAAAGGACATTATCACATATTCATGGAATCCCAGAATGGTTTGGGTTGGAAGGGACCTTAAAGATCATCTCATTCCAACCCCCCCAACAATATTAATTATTACAAAATAACAGACAAAATTCATTTTTCCACTTAAAGCATCCAAGGTCCAAGCCCACTGCTTTATAAGGCCTCTTTTTTCACAGCAACAAGTATCTTTATCCCATTTTGGTAATGTTTACTCACCACTGGAGCAATCAGTGCCTCCCCATCCTGGTTCACAGTGACACGTGTCAGGAGAGACACACCTCCCATGCACACACTCCTCCGTGCACAGAGCTGTTAAAGGAAACAACAGCATTGTAAACATCTTAAGTGGATGCTAAACGTACCCTAAACTGTGCCTTAGAGAGCAATGTTTGGTTTAAAAATAATAAACAAAGCAAACACACGCACAAAAGAATAATTAGTCCCAAGATTTAATTATTGCTAAGTGACCAAAATAAAATATAGGTCTCTTGACAGCAATAAATTCATTTGTCACTTCAACCCTTTGTAAGGAAAAACTCCAACACCAGAAATTCCTTTGCTTAGCAGTTTTGCTCCATAATAAAGTTTTTCCCAAACTGACACTTTTTATTATATTACAGAACAGCAGCTTCTTACATCACACTCCAGTTGTGACTGTCCCTAAGATAAAATGAAGCTCAGTCTTGAAAGTGTATTAAGAGCCCAAATAGTAAAAAATAGCTCGAGGAAAGTAAATAATTTTACTACATGATGCAGTAGCTGTAAGCGCAGTCCCGTCTTTTCAAGGTCATCCAGTTTTCCAGGACCACAGTGTTCTCATCTCACTTGTTCACTGGTGGATTATTGAGAGTTCAGGATCCTCAAGGTTCAAATTAATACAAACTGCCTGAGGAGCAGCTCATAGTTTAAATAATTCCCTTCTCCTTTGCTGTTTCAGTGTCTGACAGTTCCCAGGGTGTGCCTTCGTGCCCAGCACATCCTAAAAACTTGGACAGCACTGAATAACTGCTTTAAAGGCTGGACTTGTCTGCTCTGCACCTTGTTTCCATTTTACCACTCAGGACATTTCCAAAAACTCAGGGAGCCAGAGACTGAAGCTCGATGGTTGAGCTGGAACACATCATTGCCACCTAGACTAACACGCAGGAGTTATTAATGAATATGATGCAGCTGCAATGAGGTCACTGTAATAAGACATATATACATATATTTAATAGAGATCTCATATATATATGATTTATGTCCTATATAACCCATGTTTGTGTATCCTGTGTTTTTACAGCAGATGGGAAACGTGGGCATTGTGTTTACTTAACCAAGAGCTGGACTACAAAAGACTCATCCCCAGACAAAGATTAATTCATTGCTGTCTAGAGCAAGGCCAGCAAAGCTGGTCTGGGGAGCAGCTCTGAGTTGCTGTGCTGGACATGAGGCAGAACCACCCAAATCATCTGAAATCAGCCACAAAACCTCCTGGAAGCTGCCCTGGGCCTGCAGGTGAAACACTCTTTGAGTTCCCAGGGACCTCCTGGGCTGAAAGCTCCACACTGATGTCTCATCCCTTGGAATGATTCCTGCTCCCTCCCACATTCCACCTGGACTCCCACCCTGGATCCCACCTTGGCCCTGCCCTCAGGCTGCAATCAAAGCTCACGGAAACATTTTGCTGCCTAGTCTGTGTTTGGGTCATTGCAGATCAAACCTGCTCACAAAATACTGAAATCCAACTTCAAACCACAGGTGAACTTTGAAGAATCCCCTGGGACAAATCCTCCTGCTCTTTATCCACCAGATCCCACGTGAGCAGTGATTGGAATGTTGTCTCGTTAAACCCACTGCAAGATCCTCCTAAATTAGTCACTTCCTTTCCACGTTTGCTGCATGTCAAAAATGCAATTTATTCTCATTTCATATCTTGTGTTTAGACAGTATTGCAGTGGGCATGAAATATTCATGGCTAATTCTCCAGTCACTAATTGTCCTAATCTTTTGTGCATTTATTTTACTCCAGATGGGCTTTCTGAAGACAGGGAGGCATCCCAGTCTACAGTTGTAACATGGAATTCAAGACAGGATATTGGAAAAACAGGATTTTCCAATAAAATATACACACCTCCCTGAAGTCATTGGAAAATGGCTGGTTATTATTTACAATAATAAATCATTCTTACATGTAAAATGTGTAACATTTTTATCCTTTTAACAAGGCTGGTTCTGAGCTCAAGGCAAAATTTGTCAGCAAGAAGGTTGATGGTGGACTAGTTCTTTGGTCTTCCCAAATAACAAAACTCCTCCTCATTACTGGCCTAAATTTAATTGATTTCCACAGGGACATATCACACCTTAACTATGTTAACATAAATATGGAAGAATAATAAATAATTAGGCTAATAAAGTTTACTTGATCACTCATCTACGGACAGAAGTGCTCCAGTCCCATGGGAAAAGTGCAGTGAGACTTAGAAGGAAGACTCAAGATAGAATTCCTCATTCTAGAGCATTCAGTGACATGGAAAATAATAAAAATATACTATAAGGAGCTGCATCTTTGTTTTTAGGTGTTTTGAAGTCCTGCATAGCTGAAGATGACAATGTTTAATGAGCAGTTAAAGAGTTAAATAAGGTAAAGACACTCATTAGGACTGTGAGTTCTCTGATCTCTGGTTAATTAACTGGCTAAAAGAGTAGCTGTGAGCTCACCAGTGACTAATCCCATGTGGGGGTCACAGAACCCCCCCTTTTTTAAAAGGAGAAACTTTGACATAAATAATTGTATTTAGGGAGGCAAATAATCAGACTCCTGCACTGCCTGATTCAAATCAGGCCTATAAAGGTCATATTAGGGTACAACTCTAAAGTTTTATCATGGCAAATAAAATTTTGAATTTCTCCTATAAAAGGGAAGTCTTGCCTTGCTCTAGTCTTTAGAGTTTAAATTAATTTTTCATTCTATTAACATTCAACATAATAGGACACAGTGGTCCCCAAGGCATTCTTCATAATACACTTTGCTCAGGGGTTTGCAAATGATCTTACTAGTTAATGGAACTATAAAAATTACTTGCACATAAAGGTCAAGAAAAATAAAGTTAAGTATATACTTTCTGACACCGTCCTGTCCAACACTCAGCCAAAGGCCCCTGGAGTAAAGAAAACTTGGAGCGACGCAAGGAACATAATTCCTGCCAGTGCAGCAGCCCCAGCACTCCAACCTTTGGAATTCCAGACATCTCCTGTCTGCGTTTTCCCTGGACCCCTCCCCCGGAGCGACCCGGCCCCTCATTGATCAGGGCATCATTAGCATTCCTGGCGGGAGTTTAACATCAGCTTGTCGTTTGAGTCAGCCCCGTAATAAAACGACCCAGATCAAAGCCCTGCCAAAATTCCATCTCTGTGGCAATGTGTTCAGCATGAGTTATTTGCCCACATTCAAGGTTACACAGCCACTGCTCCTTATCATGCAATAAAGGCAACAAAAGGGTTCTGCAACAACTCATTTGATGCTTATCACTTACTTTATAATTACACACGAGGCTTTTTTTTTACATATAAGGTCAATCCCCAGGGAAACAGACCTGAAGATTAAACTCTTTTCCCACCTGAAGTGGCCACACAGGTTTCTCTAACACCAGTACTGATTTTTTAATTGTTGTCCAGAACTCAAATTTCGATATCTGAAATGGTTTCCCTGGTCTCCTCTCCACAGAGGTGTGACACAGCCAGGATAATGCTATGGAGGAGAACACTACTCAGTGCAGCAGACTGAGAGAACACTTCCACTGCAGAGTTCCTTCAGCTGAGGGCACCACAGGGAGTTTATCCCAGACAAAACCGGAGCTGCTCTGCCTTCCTTGGGGCTGCATTCCTCTGTGTGGACCCAAACTGGGATGTTGCAGGGGTTATAGCCTGTGATACCCTGCTCATCACCACACTGACCTCTGGTACCTCACAGTCACATTCCCAGCTTCCTTCCTGGAGGTCAAAGTGCATTTAGGGAAGAGTTTCATTCCAGGGGAATAAGTATGGAGTGATTTAGCTTGGGAAAGTTTTGTTACCTTGTCCAAAAATATAACTTGTGTGTTTATCTCACAAAAGACAGAGTCACAAGCAACACAACTTGTGCTTGCAGTGGCTGTGGTGACATCTGCAGTGGCCCTGGGGACCTGGGGGAGTTCAGAGCCACCGACCCAGCAACTTCCATCTGCCTCCCACTCTGCTGTGCCAGGCAGGCAAAATATCTTCCAAACAAAGACCAGGACAACTACAAAGTGTACAGGAACCCAGAGCAGAGAGCAGAAAACAAGCTCCCTGAGCTGCCCTCCCTCATGGCAGTGTGAGCTGCAGGAGAGCCCTGCTGGAGCGTTCCGGATGCTCTGGAGTTTCCTGGGCTCCGTGGGCTTTGTGCCCAGGGATGGCAGTGCAGCCAGGAGGTGATGGAAAGCACACAGAAGTGTAGATACATTATAATAATGGAAAACATTGCTAAATGGATATGGATGCTACTGTGAGACACAATGAGAAATTCAGGCACTCGCCTGGAACTGCAGAGAATGACCTGGTTGTTGTGACCGCACATGTGGCACAAGGACATTGCTCCAAAATACTTGTCTTTTCTCTGCCCTGCCTCAGGCAGTGTCTGCCAGTTTGTCTTCACAATACAGTGATCTCGCCCAAACTCTGACCAGTTTCATTTATCTGCTCTTAACCAAAGGTAAACCTGCATTTTTTCTTTCATCTTGCTGGTGTTTTAATTTCAGCTCATCTCACCAGTTTGCCCCGTGCTTGAGAGTTGCTGGTCTAAACAAAGCAGAAATTTAATGGGAAAAAGTGATATTTTCCTTCAGTGTTTAATATGTGTCCCTGAAACAATTTGGGCCATTTTAACATGTTCCCCCGGCCCCTCATGCCACTTTGGGGGAAAGAAGAATTTTGTGAGGTGAAGCAGCCGTTATCTCACTCGGTGGTTTCAGATAACGCATCGAGGTCAGAGCAGATGAAAACAGATGAAGAAGATTCTTGCTCCTTATCCATTAGGAATCTGTTCACTCAGGGCCTCTCTGGTGTTTCCATCTTAATGGACTGGCCTGGATCCAGGCTGTGCTGAGTCTACAATATCAGCTTCATTAGATAAGCCTGGAGTCAGCTTTTGGCTGGATTCTCTCCGACTGTGTTCAGGGAAGGGAGGTGTGAGAGCAGAAGAAAGATGACCACAGCTAATGCATCCAGGTAGGTTTTCCTCACTCTTAGATTATTGCTTATCTGTGGAACGGAAGATTCCCTCTCTAAATCACTGATTTCCCTCAGGAATG